AGTGAAAACGCTGGCGGAGGCGTGCTAGTGTGCGGTTCACGCCAAGGTGTGCCGAAAGTCGTGCGTCGTGGAATTCGCCGAGAAGACGAGTCCGTAAGATGCGATCTTGGGGCACAACTAACAAGTCCTTTCCTCTCGTGTGAAGGAGAAGGAACCCGTCTGCAATCCGACAGTGGCTAGCCCGCGGTTTGATCCGATGAAAGCTCCGCGTAAAGCGTAGAGTAAGTCGGATCGGACTTGTAGCCTTTGACAAAATGCGGTTGCAGATCGTCATCGAGGTCGAATGCCGTGGTCACAATGGCACAAAAGTCGGGCCGTCGTGAGAGGGCGTCCGCAGCTCGATTGGCGGGACCGGGAATGTGGCACGGGTCAAAGTCGAACTGGTCGATGTAATACATCCATCGACCGATCGTACTAGTGACATGTAAAAGGTCAACGGATTGTTGTCCGTATTCCATTTAAAACGCCGACGGCCGAAAAGAAAGTGGCGCCACCGTTTGAGAACGGTGACAAACGCGAGTAGCTCTTTCTTCCTAGCGYCGTCGAGAGTGTTTACGAGAGGCACCTTTTGGGAGAAATACTCGACCGGATGCCAACCGTCCTCGTGACACTGTTCCAACACCGCACCAATCCCGTATCCCGAAGCGTCCGTAGTCACTTGGGTGGGTAGGGTGGGGTCGTATGTACGGAGGGCCGGTGCGGCTTGCATCGCTGCCTTCAACGTAGCGAACGCGCTACGGGCTGCGTCGTCGAACTCGAAGGGCACCTTCGGGGACTGAAGTCTCGACAAAGGAGCTGCCACTTTCGAGTATGACTCGACGAATCGCTGATAATATCCAGCCAATTCCATGAAAGAGCGTACGTCCGTTGTGCAACGGGGTTCCGGCCAATCCACGATGGTTTGGATCTTGTCCGCTAAGGGACGAATGCCTTTCGGCGTAACATAGTGGCCCAAATACTCAAGCTCTTGCTTGGCGAACTCGCACTTGTCACGGTTCGCTTTGTACTTGGCCAGTCGCAAACGATTCAAAACAGCGCGAAGGTGTGTGATGTGCTCGTCCAACGTCCTTCTATAGACCAAGATGTCATCGAGGTAGATGAGGACGCTGCGATCGAGCAAGTCGCGAAACTCAGTCGTCATAGCTGCTTGAAAAGTTGCGGGGGCATTGGTAAGGCCAAAGGGCATGACAACCCACTCAAAATGCCTGTACCGCGTCTTGAATTGTGGTCTTGTACCGATCTTGAGGCTGGATTTCAATCTGGTGGTAACCTGACTTCGAGTCCAACTTCGAGAAGTACGTTGCGCAGCCTAACCGCTCAAGGAGATCATCAATCCGAGGGAGAGGGCCGGCGTTCTTTACGGTTTGTGCGTTAAGTTTGCGRTAGTCGATGCATAACCGTAGATCTTTGTTCTTCTTCYGGACGAAGAGAACAGGTGCWCCGTATGGCGAGCAACTAGGGYGAATCCAGCCCTTGTCGAGAAGATCATCGAGTTGTGCGCGAAGCACCTCGAGTTCCTCTTCGCTCATGCGGTAGATACATCCACGCGGAGGGACGGCGCCCGCCTCGAGAGTGATCCCGTGACGTATGGGCCGATCCGGAACCGTTCCGGTGGGCGCCTCGAAGACGTCTCCGTACTCGTCCAAGAGGTGAGTGATGCGTGGGTCCGGCGGTGACGCGGCTGGTCCGTCCGGCGAKGGGAGAGCATGCAAGAATACAAGGCCCATCTCCTCAACGTCGTTCCGAGCAATGGCGTCGCGAATTCTCGCAACGAAAACCACGTGACAAGCAATCGAAGTGTGAGGGGTCGCGACCGTACATGGGACTAACACTCCGTTCCGATCACGGATGTGAACAGTTCGGTCATGGAAGTTCACCGGATGATCGGCGCTACGCAACCAAGACATGCCTAGAATCATGTCGAACTTGGTGTCGAGGATCTCAAAAGACACCGGCTCGCACGCAAGTGGCGCAAAGTAGACCAGAACGCCGTCAACGCATCGGTCAATTGACTTTTGCGTGCGGCCGTCCGCGAGTGTAACTTGCGTAGTTTGCGTCTTCCTTCGAACGCGCGGGCCATAAAGGCTTGGCTCATAAAGTTGCGAGACGCTCCGCAATCAATTTGGGCACTACAGGTTGCCTTTCCGATTTGAATGCGGATATAGAGCAAAGGTGCGTTGGTTTCGGCGTACCTTTGGGTGGCGTACTCGCGGTCAATCTTCGCAAGATAGGAGCGGAGATCGACAACCGCTACTCCGTCGTCCGTCAACGGAGCTGGTACTGTAGCGTGCAAATAGGAGCGTAGAGTTGCCATCAAGGCGTTGCAATGCGGCCTTGGCAAGGTTCCGGTCGAGGGTAGAGGCATCCAAGCGAAGTCCTCTCTCGTGAGCGGGTCAAGCTCCTCAAGTTTTGACCACGCCGTCGAGTCCTCGGAAAACAGTGGCGAACTGACCGGATCACTTGCCGATGGTGTACAGGCTGCGCATACGCAATCTAAGTGCACGTGGCTTGGCTGGTCTAGTGGTGGTACCAGTTGGGCGGCATAATCCTCGTACGTGGCACGAGAATCAGCGACTAACGCATGCTCCCCAGTAGTGACATCGATTGCTAGCAAGGCAACTGGTTCCGGCGGAGTGAGGAGAGACGTCGCCCCTCTCCTTGCGTAACTCAGTTTCCCGAGTTTGCTGGACGGGGTACGCGTGCCTTTCCCTCTTCGGGGCATTGTGCGGTTACATGAGTGACGCCGTTGCACCAAAGGCAGTATCCGTACTTTTGACGAAGGTCATAGACATCCTTGGTTATCTTGTAAGCCGTCCATGGCTGCTGCCCAGTTCCCGTCGATGCCGTCTCTTGTGTCGGCTTGTTCTTCCGAACTCTCTTGGGACGCTTCAGCGGGAGCGCTGCTACAATTCCTCCATCACTCGAGGATGCTGCTGCAGCGTGGAGATCGTCTGTTTCTTCAGAAATCACGGCATTGTTGTGTGTCGGACGTTGATAGCCATGCTTAGCCACATAATGCGGCTGGGACTGCCGTTCGTTTGCGGCCTTGTCATCCGTTTGGATGACCAAGTTTGCACGATCCAGAATGGCCTGGAATGAATCGTAATCGTAATCGTTGCTGAGTGCCGATCGCAGTCCTGCGCACGATCGCGAGAAGAACTTGGATCGTTGATTGGTAAAACTCAAATCGAAGCCTGGTGTGGTCACTATCTTCTGCCACTTAGTTGTCCAGTCTCAAGTTGGCATATTCCCTTGAGAGCAGGTATACACTTCGTTCATGTCCGCCTTCACGACATTGCGGACCATGAAACGGGTGAACCATAGCTTCTCAAAATCCTTCCACGTAATGTGCGTGTGAAGTTCGGCGATGGTGCATGTGTGGGTAGCCGCCAGATGGTTCATCCATGCCTGCGCTCCTCCAATCAGCTGTAAGTATAACGCCTTCATCAGATAGTCGTCCGGGACAGTGCGGCATGATGCTTCCGTGAGGAAACGTTGCCACCATGCCAAAGCGTCCGTCTTGTTGTGGTCGTCGAACTTGCTGATGTCGAAGTGCGGCATCTTGTAGTTCTTCGTAGTGGCGTCCGGTCTTGTCTGCAGCTTGGTGATGTCCGTCTTGATGGCGGCCACCGTGCTACTGATCGTGTCCGGCCCATTAAAAACACCTATGTCGCCTATGAGGTTGACGACATGATCGATGCGCCCATTGAGCTGCTTCGTCTCGTCTGTCGTGCAGCCTGGCGCTGCTGAGGTGTTAGCCTCAATGTTGTTGATGCGCGCGAGAGCGGACTTCAACTGGTGATGCAGTTGCAGCTGCTGTGTTGCTTCGGCGCGGATGGCAGTTGTGAAAACGGCAATGTCTTGCTGGTACTTTTGTCTTTGCTGTCGTTCCGTGCGCAGATGTGCCTGCAACAGTGTGTTATTCCACATGATTCCTCTCATCATGCCCAGCATCAAGTTGGCCAGGTGGGTCTTCTCTGCCTCCGCCGGTGTCGGATCTGCCTGCGCGTCCGAAGGCACAAAGATCATGCCTTGGAGGAATGTTGTCCACTGACTCTCACTATGAATCAGGGACTCCGTGCTGGCCACATTCCGTTGGTCTCGTGCCGCTGCGTCAGCCTCAGCAGTCTGCTGAGCTTGGGCTGCCACTTCATTGGCCAGCCGCTGACGTTCTGCCTCTGCTGCCTCCTGCTGAGCCTTGACGGCAGCTACGGTATCAGTGAATACCTGTACCCGCTGAAAGTAAGCTGCCACTGGCTCATTGGCCCCTTGGACCGGGCATGCGGGAAGAACCCCGGTGGTAACCGGTACCGTCAATGCTGTACTCGATGCCGCTGGAGTCTTCCGTTTGCTGAGTCGCTGTTGCTGAGCCTTCGTTCTTGGAGGTACCACAGGGCGGGTACGAACTGCAAGCCTGGCACTGCGTCGTGGCAGTGCCCCAGTGTCCTGTTCCATCGACATCAGTGGGGACTGATGCGGTACTTGAGAGGTCCCGGTGGTTACAGATTACGGGGAGGGTAGAGAGAGTGGAAACGGGTAGAACAATCATACAATACACATACAGTCCCCTGTCCCACTGATGGACTGTAGACACCTAATCAAAAGAGAAATATAAATTCCCGTAAACAATTCAACAATTCGTAATAAGAATTAGAATTAACGAATCAATAAAACTTATTTAATGATAAATAACGAAATAATAATTCTGAATGATCATCAATAAACAATCTTTGTAATAAAGATAATCCGTAATCAATATTTGCAATCAAGATAATCACTAAACAATTTTTGCAATAATGATAACAAACGAATTTGAATTTTATCAAGATTAGGTATCCGTTGAGATCATCTTTAGTCCGGGAGTTCACCGTTAAYGAGTGAACTACCCGGAAGTTGCAACTTGAGGGTCAGATTCGGATTAGTATGCCAAAATTTTTTTTTCGGAAAAAGTCAGGGAAAAACACTCGAATTTTCACAAACGTGAATTTTCGGGAATTTCCACCGTCAAAATCCGATTCTTAACGGCCTAAACCCGTTTTCGGAATTTCTCAAAACAAAGGAACGAAGAAAAAAAAATTCGCGAAAATTTCGGGCCCAATCCTAATTTTCCGCGTTTCGGCGGAATCTCCGGATTTACAGTTCCCAAAACGTTCAAATTTCCCAAGTTGCGTGAAAAACCAAAATTTTTGTAACCCTAATTTCCACTACTGCAATAAAACGGAAATGCTGAATTAGAAACGAAATACAGGATTAAAATCAGAATGCCGACTTTAAACAGAATACTGATTAAACCCTAATTACGAATTCCTAATCAGAAATCCGAATCAAACAGAATGTTGGATTAGTATCAATCATCGGATCCCAATAAACAGCCTACCGAAATCAAAAAAAAAAACGGAAATCCGAATGATAAGTCCGAATTCCGAATTGAAACGGAAATGCCGAAATCAGAGAATACCGACAAAAGAAAAATTTGCAACTTTGAACTCGATGGCAATACGGAGCTGATTCGGAAGATTAAAGAACAATCTAATTCCTAATCAGACTTACCTTTGTGAGCAGATCCGTTAATATGGTCTGCTCCGATACCAAAACTGTTACATACTTCAATGAGTATGGGCAGAACCAAAGATCAACCAATGTAGGATAAGCATATATGCAGCAGAAGTCTGAGAAAACGGACTGACTCACATAGAGATCACTCCACACACATACAATCGTGAGATGGTGGGGTCTGGACTAAGCATAGACGATGTCCAGACCTCGTACACACATACACAGATGAGAGGTGGGAGGAGAGACGAAGGAGGAGGGGAGATGTAGGTAGCACCAAATGTCACCGAGATAGAAACCAGTAGGTCACTGATATGGTATCCAAAATGTCATCGAACAAGATCAGAATGTCGAGGACAATAAGTCACCAATGTCGGAGATACAGAGTCCTAATGTAACCGGTGTCCAATCTGTGCTGCAGCCGAGTATCATCCCCAACAATCTCCAAGTCTCGAACTCGGTAAGTACCACAGCCTCTTACCACTGAAAGTCCAACTCTGATCTCTGTCCAACTAGTATAAGTCTCCAACCTGAAGAAGTAGAAGAATAAGAAGGGAGCCGAGGAGGAGAGAGAGAGGGGACTGACGAGGGGAGGGAGGAGGGACCTCCAACTCCCGATACCTCAGGCGGCTATGGCCGCCAGTGGTCTCAGTCGCCGCTGCTGCTGCTCCGCTTGCTGCTGCTGCGCTAATGCTGCGCTGCGCTGCTCCTCCCTGCTCCTGCGCTAAAGATAGCGCCAGCGCTAATGTGCGCTGTACCATACCGTACCGGTAGAGTGCCGGTAGGTCGATCCCTTCGACTGAGGCTGGACCGGTTCTTTATACCGGTGGGG